ATTCTGCAGTCTTTGAAAGATATGAAGAATGCCTATCTAACTGAAAGATATCTCTATATATCTAGAAAATCTAACATGACTACAAGCTTGACTATTATCCATTAACAACCTATATTTCCTAATTAAAAGTACATTTTTAAATGAACTACACAATCACAATACCTTAATCAAGATCAGAAATACATATACATATAACAAAATTGACCATAAAATCCATACCAATGCAAATTATTCATATCTATATCAGTGCATTAAAGGCTAGCTTGGTCTAATCGCTAGCTACATAGCAAATTCCAGGCCAACTAGAGCTACAACAGTGAGACCCTGTTTCAAACACATACAGAGAGAGAGAGAGAGAGAGAGAGAGAGAGAGAGAGAGAGAGAGAGAGAAAACCCCAACACATACACACACACACACACACACACACTGAAAAAAGAATTACACTGTAGCAAAAATTATATTATAAAGTAACTTCTTGAGACCTGGGCAAAAAAAAATATACTGTAGCAGAAAGAAATATGCAACCTTTAAAGCTTGAGGGAAAGATGGCTTCTGTCAGGTTCACCTCCCTCTTGATTTTTTGTTTGTTTGTTTGTTTGTTTGAGTCAAGGTTTCTCTATGTTGCCCTAGCTGTCCTGGAACTTACTCTGTAGACTAAGCTGACCTCAAACTCACAGACATCCACCTGCTTCTGCCTTCTAAATGCTGGAATTAAAAGTGTTCGCCACCCAGCTCCTCCTTTTTTATTGTTGAGATTATGATTTTTTTAATTTCATGTGCAGTGGTGTTTTGCCTGTATAATTGTCTCTGTGTGGATCCTTTGGAATTGGAGTAACAGACGGTTGTGATGTGTCATGGGGGTGTTGGGAATTGAACCCTGGTCCTCTGGAAGAGCAACCACTGCTCTGAACTGCTGAACCATCTTTCCATCCCATTGAGATTATAATTTAATTACATTTCTCCTTTGTCTTTCCTCCTTCCAAACCCTCCCATATAGTCCTTGTCATTCACTCTCCTTCAAATTCGTGGCCTCTTTTTTTTTTTTTCACTTATGTGGCTAAGGCTGGCTTTGGACTGCAAGCTAATCTAGTCTACTGAGAGCTCAAATTACAGGCCTAAAATATTGCTTCAAGTCTTTATTTCTAAATCATTTTTTTGTTTTGAGACAGGTTTTCTCTATGTAGCTCTGACTGTCTTGGGGTAGCTCTGTGTCTTGGAACTCCCGTTGCAGACCACACAGGCCTCAAACTCACAGGTATCTGCCTACCTTTGCCTACTGAGTGCTAGTGAAATAAAAGGTGTGTGCCACCACACCCAGCTTTAAGGGGTACTCCTCCACCCACATTGTCTACATTGTTTTCACCTTCCACTAAACAGGAAGTATTTCTTTTTAAGCACCAAGCCTGTAAATTTGCTTGACAATAGGGCCAAGGCGACAGGAGCCAATGGCTCCTCTGAATTACAGGGTCTCTCTAGGCTTACTGAGGACTGCAGCTATGACCTTTATGTGGCTCCATTTCTTCTGAAGACTTTGTTTTGTTTTTCTTTGGGGGTCGGAGCTGGAGAGATGGCTCAGTAGTTAAGAGCGCTTGCTGCTCTTGTAGAGGACTGGTTAGGTTTCTAGAAACCCCCCTACCCCACCCCTGCAGCTCACTGTTAACC